AGTCTTCGATCCATGTTCAGGTAAGTACAACGATGCATGTTATTTGTGGGGTTTTTTGCACACAAACAGTATTCTCGTTGCTTCATATAATTAAGGTTGAACCACTGATGTTACCTTACTACCTTTCCGGGCCTTGAACGTGTCAGTTGTGTTGCTGTCTATGCAGGGTCAGAAAGCTCTTAGATTTAATCAAAACTATCTTCATTTGTATTCCAGAGATGATTAAAGGTCTTATGGGTTTGGACGACATGAGGGTGAGTAATTAATGACAGAAATTTCATTTTTGGGTGAACTATCCCTTTAAATGCAAAATGTTGAACATAATTGTTATATATTTTTTGTTCTCTTTCCTTAAGAAGGAACTAAAAGCTTATTGACAAGAAAAGTATATAGAGAGTCTAATTTCATCACTTCAGATCTGTGAATAATTGTGATTATTTTAAAGCGTTTTAATGGTCAGACAGCAGTACTTTACAGGCACACTCCGAAAAAAGTAAGCTGATTGCTTGCATTTCGTCTTGTATTGAGTGGGTTTTTTACACACTGATGTAGATGTAAACATAGGATATATTTTTTCCATTGCCCAATTTCCCAACAAAGTAAAACGGGGTAATGAGAGAATGGAGGAAGGGAGAGAGAGTCTTTCCCTCAATCTCTCTATGCTGTTATTCACTGGCTTTTCTTCATTAAATGAAACTTAAAGCTGCATATCAGTGTTTTTCATATCATTTCTTTTCTCAGCCTCTCAGCTAATTGTCTCCGATTAGGCGGAACACATTTTTTAGTCCGTGCTCACATGATCTCTTGTTCATTACATGGGCTTGGAGCAGGTGACTGACTGTCCCTTGTATTCTCCATCTTGATTTAGCCTCACCATAAAATGGAGAATATACACTGCCTTTCTCTGAAAGACCTCATCAATTTGAAGCAGGGCAGGATTGATGCTCACTCATTACACTGTTGGGGACCTGTTGATATATGGCTGACTGACTGCAGATCATTGGCCCGCATTTCTGTGATTTTAAGACCACCCTCTCACAATATGTGATATCTTTGATATACTGATCCCAGATTTGTCACTTTTGTGTTTGTGAAATTACTCTGATAAATCACATGCCTGTTGGTTTTAAGGGTCTGTAGGTATGATCCTGGTAAGGGTCACATTTAGCTAATTCTTTGTGACTTACAGTGTATTCAAGGTTGTAGTTTATCAGTATGTGTATTTGTCAAATGGATTTGGATTTGACTTTAAATAGGAAAGATAAAAGCTGCTGAATATCTGATAAATATATTTGCATTCAGTATGTCTGGCATGTTGCACGTGAAAGCACAGTGCAGTAAAATTAGTTATTCACTTGCCAAAATACTTTCTAGACATTTTTATGGCTCTTAAGCCATTTTTGCTTTTTAAATTACTGTACATATAAAGCAATTTTAGATGAATGAAACTTTCACTCACTTACTTTGTTTTCTAGCTTTTTCTTTCGCATTCACTCGCTCGCACACATACACAAGTGCTGAATTATTCTGTGTAGGGAAAAAGCGACGCCCAGACTTGACGTGGCAGTCTTTCTTTCATGCTGAAGAGAACTCGGGCTGGTTTTATTTATTTATTTTCAGACTAATGTAGTGAGAAACATACAGCATAAAATACTCCACAAACCACACCAGGAAATGAGTTTGAGCTTTAGTCTGGTTACACAATCCTTGTATAATGTAGATTGAAATAATCGGTTGTTCTTGACGACAGGATTTAAAGACAGTTTGGAGGACGAGGAACATATTGAGAATTTGATGGTTCCTAGTGAAAACAAAATAGATTTGTTAACCTTACTAAGTTATTGGACATGTATCACAGTAATATGTATATTTATGCTTTTATCCAAAGCAGGCTGCACTGCATTCAAAAATTTGTTAAATAAAATATTATGTATTTGCTTACTGTCTGGATCACTCATACCTTGTTTACTGTACAGTGATAACATTTAATGCACCAACTAGGCTACACGGTGTTTACAACCAACCTCTGCTCACAAGTGACTTGTTCCTCTGTACTTTGTGGTTGCAATATAATTAGCAATTTGAGCAGTAGAAGCTTGTAGCTAATTAATAGGACTCTCCACCCTGTTTTTGCCTTTCATCTCCTCTGTCCTCGTTTGAGCCTTAAAGGAAGACCTAAGCATGGCATTTAATACATTTGAGCCTGACCCCTCCCCCGCATCCCATAACCAGCGTCCCATTGTCCTGTCTGGACCCAGACCATCTGTTGCACAAGCTCTTGTATCTGCAGCATGACTCGCCGCCTCTTATGAGAGAGAATAGATGGAGACATGAATTTCGCTGTGTCCACATTTCTAACGAGGCAGTGCAGTATTGATGATATGCGTGATCTTTTCCCATTGGCTGATCTTTTGGCTTTGACCTCTCATTGGCTGACACCTCTGTCATGGACTCCTGTTGGTAAATAATTAAAGAAGCTCCACCTTGTCTCAACACGTACACTACTAATGTCAGACATACAGATAGGAAAAGAGAAGAGTGTGATGTGGATACTCTTGCAGGAAACTAGATTTAACTGGATTTTATTTATTTTAAATTTTTTATTGTGTTATTATTGTTAAAAAATAATAATAAAAATAATATCATAATTATATAACAATTTTCTAGTATAAAAATTAAAATGAATGTATTTAAAATTAAAAATAAACATTAAAAACGCACACACACGCATATATATATATATATATATATATATATATATATATATATATATAGGTGAAAAATTTAAGGGGGTCTGAATACTTTCCGTACCCACTGTATATATATGTGTGTGTGTGTGTGTCATTTAATACATTCAGATGATGCCAACCCTCAGACAACATACAAAACTAACTACCAAATTTTGCTATAAGTTTGATCGCAACATAAATTCATTGCTGTTAATAGTGTTCACCGTCTGTTTGATTACATGACATTAACTAACTGCTTGTTTTTTTACCGTACATTTCTGCCATATGGACATCAACTTGAGATAGTCACCACTGATAAGCTGTTACTAAATATAATGTAGAAACTTTACTTTTCTGTAAAGCTGCTTTGCAACGATTTGCATCGTGAAAAGCGCTATACAAAAACGTTAATTTAATTGAATATATATAAATTGTAATATGTTTATGTAAATTATTCCATAATTGTATATATAAAATATTTTTACATATTTTAAAATGTATAAAAAAACTACAAAATTATAAATATTGAATCATCGTCCCATTTTCTCTCTCCTCCTCCTTTTCTGCGCAAGTGTACTTGGATGTGTGTGCATGATCGCTGGCAAGAGCACAGGAAATTAGCAAGCACAACATGAACCATCAGCATGTGGGTTTGTTTTGTTTGTTCCATCTGGTTTTTAGTGTCATGTGACTCTCTAATGACTGGTCTTTAGTGTTTGTTGAATATAGCAGCAAAAGTAACAGTATGAGCTTTGCCGCTGAGACCGTCTGCTGCAAAAACCCATTAAATGACTAAATGCCCATCACTCTCTGAGTGAAGTTCACACTGAGCCTTAGTCAATGTGCATGTGACTCCTCTACAGACGTGAACCGCTCTTACCCAGAGTGCCTACACTTGCCAATTTTCGCCGCCGCGTGTGAGGGATGGCGGTAATTGACCTACGAAGGTTACTTTCATGTAGTTTCTCTTTTATCTGTGTGCTATTCAGCCTCTGTCACTGTCATCTGCCCTAGTTGTCTGTATGTATTCAGCATCCAGATTAATCATCAGCTCGCAGCCTATCGATCTGGAGTTTATTGGCAGAGGACATCGTTTCTGATTTGCTCGATGGGTTTATAGCTGGCACTGTTCATCAGATGCATCTGCTAATTGACTCTCTCTTTCTATGGTTTGTTTTCATGCTAGGTCGGGTCACTGGGCCCATGGGCACCGGCTCACTGCCCAGTTTGTCAACACACAGCATTAAAATACCACAACACACCATCCTCATGGAGACAGTGTGTGGTGCTTTTTGTATTGATATGTATTTGAAGTGTCTTGTTTACTTGTTCAGTTCCATGCCATTCTGTCTGCCTAGTTTTGTGGTCTGGAAAATAAATACTTATGGATGAACTAATACAATTTTAGATATTAAAATAATTTGTTATTAGAATGCAATTTTAATTATACATTTTAATAATGTTTTTTAATTCATGCACATTTTATGTAAAAAAAAATTATTAAGCAAAAATACAATATTAAAAGCAAACGTTATGAAGCTAAAAAGTTCAAATAAGTGTACAATAAAAATGTAATTAAAACTACCTAATTTATCTGTTCATGTTGGATATTTAATTGTACACTTAAATGTTAATTTTCCCTATTTCACATTTAAATTCTTTACAGCCTTAAAATACTAATAATGTAATAATAATGTTAAATATAATCTTTAGCAGATAAAAATTTATATTTATTTTTATTATATTGTGATGCCCAAGTTGTACATTTGGGCATCACAATATAATATAAACATTTATTATTATTATTATTATGCATGTCGGATTGAAGACCTCTGCAGTATAGCTCAAGTCCTTTCTGATTCATGTGTAGAATTTATTACACAATTCAGTGGCGGGCCGTGCATTTTACACCTAGGCCTTCAGTGGCGTCCTACATGAATTAATCCATCTCTTCATACCATCATAATGATGCCACGGCTATAGAAACCATAAATATTACACAGTAATGCAGTATAACAGGGCACTACATAACAGACAGGTATCTTATGTAGCGAGAATGAATGCCATTACTAAAGAAAGAAACCCAATTAACAATTGCGCAACACATCATCTGTAGCTGAAGCATTAACCTAACAAAATGACACAAATACAGTCCATCCGATGTTCTTACAGACAATTATTCACCCAAACGCATTTATACCTTACAGATAGCATTGGTATAAAACAAATAAGGTGATTATATGTGTTTTAAAGTTGACCTAACAATTTATTGTTCTCTTACTGCTTTATTTCGTCTTCACGAGTCTCCCCGCCGGTCTGCCAGCGCACTGCGGGAGGAAAATACTGGTTAGCACAGCTTTACTAGGAAAGTGAGCAAGTAACATTAAAATAATTCATACAAGACGATGAAGAAAAGTGTATACATGTGTTTTAACATACCTCTGTGACTCTCATCTCCCCGCTGGTCTGCCTCTGCCAGCGGTGCTGCGGCCAGAGGAAAAGACCGGTTAATACAGCTCCACTCGGGAAACTGATATTCTTACGGAAACTTAAACCTGGCTTTATATCGCGCAAATAACATCAGCATACAACGCATCAAGCGATAAAAGAGTCAAAAATGAAAATTAACCTACCATACTCTAGTGGTTTTTCATCTTCACGAGTCTTTCACAGAGCCGGTGCCGAGGAGGTGTGTGGTTGTTTATCGCAGTCATTAGGACTAACGTTACTGGGCCCTGACGGCCCACCACTGACACAATTATAATCTAAAATAAATTACATATTTTGTTTCATCGCCCGATCCTGTTTCTGTCTTCCTCCTGATTTTTTTTTTTTTTATACTTGATTAAACTGTATTTTACTTGCACATATGCCATGCCTTAATGCAAAATCCAGTTCTCTGCATTATCATCTTTAAATGAATGGTTACACACACATGCCTAATTTTAGTTTTAGCATTTAAAACAATTGATTTTATTTTTACAATTTTAAAAATTCATTTAGAATTTTAAGTTTGGTGCACCAAAATGTGTAGAATTGTAATATATATATATATATATATATATATATATATATAAAAAAAATATTGTTCCATCAATGATGGCAAGCCGTCCTGGACCAGATGCAGCAAAACAGGCCCAAACCATGATACTACCACCACCATGTTTCACAGATGGGATAAGGTTCTTATGCTAGAATGCAGTGTTTTCTTTCTCCAAACATAACGCTGCTCATTTAAACCAAAATGTTCTATTTTGGTCTCATCCATCCACAAAAAATTTCTCCAGTATTCCTCTGGCTTGTCCACATGATCTTTATGGGCAGCAATGTTCTTTTTGGAGAGCAGTGGCTTTCTTCTTGCAACTCTGCCATGCACACCATGGTTGTTCAGTGTTCTCCTGATGGTGGACTCATGAACATTAACATC